GGAGCAGCTTGGCTGTGTGGTAGATAAGTAACTCAAGAAAATCAGCCTGTTAATCACTGTGAAAGTTGCAAACTGGTTGAGAACCTTTTAGATGAGCAGACTGTCAGCACCAGCAGTTGCAACAACCAGTGCTGTTAGGCACCAAATGCAAAGAGGTAATTAGGAACCCAATAATCTCCATGCTATTCTAGAAATCACAGTGTTCAGAACCACTTGGAGGAGAATTCAGAGTATCCTGATTGTCCTATGACCCACACCAGGAGTATGCATAGGATGGCTGGAAGCACTCCATTAATCCACCTGACTTTTCTTCTGGATTAAATCATCTCTCCTGTGATTATAAATTGCATATACCTCTCATGGAAGTGGTTTGGTATCTGAGTTCATTTTGTGTCTTCGCTGTCATCTGGTCTTATGATCTTACTACAATAATAGCAGAGTGGGGCTGCATGCAGGTTAGAGCAGCTGGGGTACAAAAGTGTCCTTACCAATGAGCAGCACAAATGAAATCAGATTTGCCCAACTGGTAAAAATCTGTTGGAAGGATGTATCTGTCAGCCAGGGGCCTGCTTCTTCCCACAGCCAAAAGCAGAAAGGCTTCTGTGGGGTCCACGTAACCTAAGCTTCTCTGGATGTCCAGAGCCCAAGTGGCACAAGACTTGCACTAGCATGGAAGAAAATACAGGTGGGCAACACATATTGGAAAAGTATTTAAAGAACCACTTCTTGGAGCAATCTTTCACGTGGGTTCCACCCTCAGCAATTCTTATTTTACAGCAAGAAATGCTTTTTAACTACCACCCAAGGACCACAACTACATAAGCAAGTATACAAATACCAGCTAGGACAAGAGAAGAACATATTTTCAGAAGAGAAAGCACAGAGCCTATCCCCAGGCTGTGGTGAAATGTGGCAGAGAGAACCAGCAGGGAACTTGATTTTGGGCAAACCCTGATATAAAGTCATTTTGTCCTACCTGTGTGGAAGTATTTTCAAAATAGGGAAAACCTTCATCCTTTAGGCTGACCACTGCTTAGTAAAGCAGTCTCCATTCAAAGGATTGACAGAGTGCTGCCAGAGATATGCTGGCAAAATCATACTGAGACTGCAAGAGGCAGAAACCAGGGAACTCTTGAAAAAGGTCCCAAGGGAATCACATCACTGTAGGATGAAGAGTAAATAGACCATGAAAGTAGGATAACATTAAAATATTTTTGCACACAGATTTCTTACAGGACAGCAAATAGTCCACTCTTGAGAGAAGAAACAGGAAAGAAAAAATCTGCTGATACTTTTTTTTTAAAGGCTTTTCCACTCATCTTTCCAAATCAATCTCATCAAGAGCTCCAAACCTGGCCAAACAACTTCTGATGGATGTCATCAAGCCAGCATTCAGGCTGTTGGGTGCAGTGATGTTAGAGCCAGGAAAAAGGTTTGACTTTTATTCTGTAAAAGTGTCTAGAAGTCCTGTTGGGATGGGATAGCAAAGATCTTCAACAGATCTCATTGTATGAGCTGTCCCTCTCATTATACAAATAACAGAACTAGCTTGAGTTTCTCCCATTCTGTCAGAAACTTGATAGCATCAAGACGAGTAAATGTACCACATCAAGCCAGGGGATGGGAAAGGCCTCTCAACGGAAAAAGAGATACATTACCCCTCTGAAATGAATGTTTGAAATGTGGAGTTCTGGCATGCAGCAAGCAGATTTATCTCTAGGAATTCCCACTTACAGCATATTCCCCTGGGTGCCCAAGAAGTGCCTGCTGAATTGCCAAGGAGCTCTGAAGGCAGGAACGCACACAGCCTTTGCTGCAGGAGGGTGCCAACTGCACCAATTACAGCAAATAATCATGTTAGATCTTGCCTGGTGAAATAACACATAGCTGCAGTGTAGTTTGTCAGTACTTGTACTTCTGAAAAGGCAGGAATGCTCTGCATGTCACATGGGCAGAGTGTCAGCTTTGTGACTTCCATGAGCCCCTTGAGGAGGTCTACGTTTGAAGATAATGCAGGTAACTTCCACACAGAATGGGAATTATGAAGTAGAGATCTGGGCAGAGGAATTACAAATTTGCTGCTGTAGTTAAGAATATTTTTGTGGGAGATACATACACACAACAGGCACTGAAAAAATACTAAGATAGCATAGTGTTTTCATAGAGCTTGGGGGAAGTAGATTAGGCTACAAGGCACAAGACATTGCAACTATGCCCTGGGGAAGGGGGTTTTAACACACGTTTGTTGAATAGAGCAACACACAGTTTGGAGTGTCTTTTGGAAGAGAGAACCCAGGCCAAGCAAAGATCAGCAGTAACCTGATAAGATCTATGCTCCAAGTCAGATGATTTGCCTATTGACTTCAAAACAAAGATCTTTTTAATTACAGTAATTGTCCGCCCTCTAAGTGAATTTCCTTGTAATAAGCCCAGATGTTGAAACATGGACAGACAGGTACCTTGTGCTTCCTTCAAACAAGCTGCTCTGACTAGAAAACACTTCCTGGATGCTTCTCAGTGTTATGAAAAGACCCAAACAATAGCACAAATGGTATGTTCATAGCAGAAATTTGAGATGGGTGGAATCTGAGTGTATTGGCATGGAATTAAAAAAAAAATTCAAAAAGAGTCAAGGTGAATGAAACCAGTTTTAAAACTCTGAGGAACCTCTGAAGGCAAAATCACTAACCTGAATGTGAAATTGCATATGAGGGTGTGAATGTGGCAAAGGTTTATGACAAACCCCTTTGCCTTCAAAATCAGTAATAAGAATAAAACCTTCTATGCTGAAATTAATTACATGGCGCCTAATCCACTACTGCTAGTTCCAGAAAAACAACCCAAAAGGACTGGCTTTTTCTTAATCTTGCATTTCTTTTGGGAAGATTTCTTATAAAGGTTTCAAGAGGACTAGATGGCTGAAGGAGATATCCATTGTAACCCCACAATTTAACAGCAAGCTAAGGCCAAGCTTCCAGAAAAGTAAAAGGCCAGTCTAGGGTGAAGGAAAAAACATCAGTTCTCTTAAATACTCACTTTGGTAACAAATACGGTCACGTATAAAAAGCCTCCAATTTTGGAGCAAAGGAAAAGGCTGAGGATTATTTACAGTGGATTTTGTCTTTCTTCCAGTACCTTCAAGGTTCTCAATTAATATAAACATTTAGCAACAAAGACCTGTCTGAAGGGAGACTATTGACACAAACTATTCTTCCTGGTGATTAAGATATTGGAATGTTGTAAGGCACGGAAATCCTCACCCTTCTGTTGCTGAAAAGCTCACTGCTCTCAAACAGAACACTGTAACTGTTTCTTAGTCTTCTTCAGGACTGGCTCAAGTCCTGGAGCCCCTATGAACTCTTCCCAGCTATTGAAATGGTCGTGATGCGAGCAGTAAGCACAAGCAAACTGCAGTAAGTTACAGTCCATCAGCTGTACCTCTGCATAACGCCCTGGTCTCTTTCAAACCAGAGAAACAGACCATGAGCTAGGATGGGCAGTTCCAGCAAGAGAACAATCTGACAGTGAGCCACCCTAATGTGGAGGCCAGCTAATGATTACACCCCCTTGAACCCCCAGCTGGTTTCCCTAAGACTTTCTTTACATATGAGGTCAACAGTTACTTCTATTTCTTAAACTGCATCTTCTGCACATTCACTCACAGAATTCATCCTGAATGCCTACAGCATATCCAAGAGGAGAATCCCTAGGTGGAAGATGATTCTCCATTATGCATATCAAAAGAAAAGAGCATACTTTCTCCAGAAAAAAGTCTGCTCTATGAGGTGTTATTGTAAGCTAAGCTGTAATAGTGGTATTTTCAACAGTATCACAGGGTCTCAAAGGAAAAATCCACCCACAACCATTTTGGCACAGATGTCTGGGACACAGCTACTCAGTGTAATAGGAAAGTTTTGTCACTGCACAGGGAATCAGGGAGTAGGCACTCCAAGACAGAAGGTCCTAGGGCTGTGAGCAGAGTAGCCAGAGGCAGAGTTGGTGTGAGGGTGGCCAGCAGGGCAAAATGGTTTCCAGTTTAAAGAAGCCAAGAATATGGTATGCTGGAGACCATTGACTGACATTGCAAAATAGTAAGCATCACTTCATTTAATCAAGTATCAATGCCAACAACGTGGAAGTCAGATGACATTTTTGTCCATCTGGTATTTTGCTCAGGGAGCAAAACTGGTATGTCATTTCTTGAGAGCTGTTCCTTCTAGAAGGACGTGTCTGTGGAGGAGCCATGCTAACATCCAACAGAAAGCTTCCAGGAAGAATTTCAGCATGCTGCAACACTAAGCAAAAAAATGAATCTAAACAGTTCAGATCTATTTCTGGATACTTGAGGATGTTGCCTCACTCTCCTGAGAAAGAGGGGTTCCTGACCCCCTTCTACCATTTGAAGATGTACTAATAGAACAGCCTCTGAACCAAAGTTTTCCTCCAAAGACAAGTGGGAGCTGAGTTTGCACATTATTACCCACAAGGAAAAGTCTCATGCTGCAAAGCTGGCTCCCAGCACGACCTTTGTAGCCGTGCACAGAGAAAATGAAAAAGAGCATCACTACACAAACTTGATAGAGACCGTGTCAGATGTACTCTGGCTCTAGCAAAGCAAAGCACAAAAGTAAGGCATCTGTTTATCTGCCTTGCTACTGTAGATGGTGGCAAAACTGGTCACAAAATTATGTGCCTGCTCATATTTTAAATCTAGAAATTAAAATATCGGGAAGATCTGCATGCACAGAAGGGAGAGGCCCCAAGTCCTGTATGATACTACTCTCCATACTTGACATGTAAGAAACCATAGCCCTAGATAGGACCCTGTGTGGAAACTATTCTACAAAGGGCAACACCAGAAAGGGACAGGGCAGTCACATGAGTCCCATATCTAAGGACAACACTGAAAGGCAAAGCACACCATGCAGGAAGGAATCTCAGAAGAAATTAATAATTCTCCACTGGAGACAACAGACAAGCCCTCCTGACAGGACACCCACCTCTCCGAGAGAAGCAGACGGGGAATTCTTCCTGCTGAGTTTTTCACCTGCAAAGAGGTCTTGGCGGGCTCGACGGCCCATCTTTAGTACCTGTAGTGCAGGGGGAACACGGAGGAGCAGAGGACACACAGTTACTGACAAGAGCCGTTTCACCGCAGGGAGCAGAAGGCAAGGCACGGCCCTGCGGCCGCGCCCCGCCCCGCAGCGAGGCGCGGTGCCCTCAGAGCGCACAGCCTCCGCTCGCCGCAGGTGTGAGCCCCGAGCCGCCTCCCGGCCCGCCCAGCCGCGCTGCTCGGCCCCACCGCCGGCCGCTCGGCCCGGCCCGACCCGGCCCTTCCCTGCCCCAGGGCAGCCGTGCCGCCGACCCCCCGCCCCCTCCGGGCGGCGACCGGACCGCGGTCCAAGGCCCCGGAGCCCCCGCTCGGCGAGGCTGGGCCCGCTCACCCCGGCGACGCCGCCTCTCCGCGGCGCCTCCGCTCGCTCCGGCTCAGCCTCCATCCGCCGCCGCGGCCGCCGGTGCTTCCGGCGGACAGCCCGCCCCGCCGCCCCGGCAACCGCGGGCACGGCCCCGCCGGGCTCGGCCGGCAGCCCCGCACCGCCCGGCCACCCGCCCCGCGGGCTGGGCCGAGCTCACGGCGCCCGGCAGCCACAGAAACATCCACCCCCGCAGCAGTCTTAAAACCTTGTCCTGACTGAGGGGGACACCGGTGCTGCAGCACCTCATGCGGGTTCTCAGCCCTTTCTAATTGCACTTGCGGTGTGGCAGGCCGGGAACAGTGTGACGCTCTGCCTTCTCCAGCTTTTTGCCGAAGATACTTTTAAAGTTCCCACTAAGGCAGATAAATCCTAGCCTTACACATCTGTCTCCTGATAGAGGCTTTTGCCAAAGTCTCCTGATGGCTTCTGATGCTCTTCCCAATTCTCCCTGGCTCTCTAACACAGCTTTCCAGATGCGGCAGCCGGTCCCCAGAGCCCACGGTGGAGGCGGTGCCAAGGATCAAATGTAAGCACAAGGATCATTACACACATGGCTTCGCAGCCGTCAGTTGTGCAGAGATTTCCACTGAGCTGTATAAAACGACCCCGGTCTGTTTCTTGGCTGAACAGATGTACAGATTAATTGTAAATAAATCTGGTTTTAGCTCCACATGTTTAACAAACATTCTGTTTTCCAGTACTTTGTCCCTTTGCCTATATTTTTTTCTTCTATCTCACATTCCTCACAATTTCCACCCATCCTCATTAGCCTAAATAATTTCTTCTGCTGCTACAATAGAGAACTGTACCACACCACAAACTACGCTGTTAACACTTTGCCATGATGAAAATTGACTCCGTAAGTAAACTTTTAAGCCTCCCAGGAACACCTTTTACTAAAGGCACTAGATTTCAATCTATACCTGCTTAGCTTTTGTAGAAGTTCGTGGTTTGGCTGAGGAACTTTAAGCCATCTAAATAAATTGTATCAAATAATTCTCCTTTTTTCCATTCGGACATGTTGAAGTAGTTGTGCTGTGATGATCTAAGGATTAAGTGAAATAAGATTTGTGGGCAGAGGCAATAACTTTTTATTAGACCAACTGATATAGCTGGAAAAGAAAACATAAGGGTTTCTGTGCCTGAAAGCTTGTGTGTTTTTTCCAGCTGTATCAATTGGCCTAATAAAAGATATTATCTCCCTTTACAAATCTTGACATGTTCAAGGAATTCAGTAAGTGAGACGTGATTTTCCTTTTTTGAAGCCAGGCTCACTGGGCTTTATGAAATTATGATCTTCCATATACTTTGTTCTTCTCTTTTAATTACAGATTCAAGCATTCATGAGCTAGAGAGGGCAGTTTGCACCTAGCCCCATGCTTCGCCACCAGGGCCATGGGAATATCACCCTGCATTTCTCAATTCTCCCCAGCTCCTCCAGACAGCTGCTGCAACAACACAGCTACACAGATGCCAGGAGACAGAGGGGACTGTAGCTGTGGGGTTACAATACACTCACAGCTGACCTTCTGATCCGAAAAAGAGCATCTCAAGAGGAGCATGATAGCATCCAGGGCAATGTCTGCTAAAACAGGAAGACATCCCTGAGGCAGGAATCCTTGGGTGGGAGTACATTGCCAGCTGTACTCCCACACAGGTAGCTGACAGGGTGAGCCTACAGGGTGTCATCCTGGACAGACAGATCATGAAGCAGCATGACCAGTGCATTCACTTGTTTGGAACTGCCCTCTCCCTCCAAGCTTCTCCTCACAATTCCCCTGGGTTCCCATCCCAGACAGTATACCTGTACTTCTCATTTTCCCCCAAGATACTATGTGCTGCTTGCTGCCTACCCCAGGGAGAGAAGTCTCAGGCCAGTTGAGGGAGGGTGAAAGAAAACCTGTAAAGACTTGGGGAACTGAGCCTTGCCTCAGAATTTTGACTCCTGACTTCAGAGATTCTCAATGAGAGAGAAGAGCAGATGTGCAGAAAGAACAAAACCTAAAATCTGTCCTACCTCTAGTCCCTCTGGATTCTACTTATTGGAATGGGGCTTGTCACCTACCCCTGAAAGTTTTGCCTGCTTGGAGAGGGCAACAGGAGGAAGAGAGTTTTCATCCATCATTTCATGTTGTGGCCAAAGTGGATTTTGCTTGCCTTTAGTGTTGGTGTTACATTTTCTGAACAGTTTAATTCTCCTCTGTTTTACTGGTGACACCACAGGCAGCATTTGACCCTGGGCCTACATCGGCTCCACTTAACCAGCTGAGAAGGAGCCAGGTGCCAGGACAAATGTCTAGGGCTGGTGTGGTTGTCCAAAGTTGTTTTCAGTGCTTGCTTTCTGTCCAGTTCAGGACTGTGGTGCCAGGGTTTGTCTTTCCCAGTGTACAGTTTCAGGTGTATTCTCAGCTCCCAGTCTGCCTTACTTGTTTGGTTCTGCCCTCTCTGTAAATCACACTGCTGCCACCCCTCTAAGCTGAACAGCAAGTAAGAACTACGCAAGCATTCCTTTCATGGACAAGTTCTCACATCTAAACATGGACTCTCTCCATCCGGTTTCAACACACACCTGATCACACAGAATAGGACTAACAGAGTCCCCCACTAGTGCTGTTTACTGCTGATTTCTCCTTGACTGGCAGACATATGAATAGAGCTTGTGTCTGGTCCTCCTATCCATGAGAAAGTCTGGGAAAGCAATCACACTTGAACCCTCCCATATGCTTCTGGTCCTAGACCCTCTTTAAAGCAAGGGCACACACATGCAGTTACAGCTACAGCTATGGTGGAAAGCCCACATGGTTGCACAATGACCACCTTATTCAGAGTGGCCAAAAGTTTTCTAAAGCAGGTCTTTAACAGCAGTAGGATTTATAGGATGCAGGGCAATTCCAATAGTAACAAGTGACTCAGCACGGTGCTTTCTTCCTCACCCAATCTTCACATCAGGCAGCCAGCCAGACTCCCGATTTTGATATGGGCCAATTCATTAAAACATTAAGCTTCCACTGGGAAGAAAAGCACTCAGCAAAGATTGCTGCTGTATCCTGCTCCACACTAGCAGCATGCTGGCATCTCCAAGCTTCTCAGTTTAATTTTTCTGCAGGTTTTTTTTCCGCCACGCACCTCCCAGTCTCTAAGGGGTTTTGGAGGAGGGAAACAATTGCAAATATTTTTATTTCTGTAGGCTCCAGAACAAAACCCCCTAACAACTGCAAAGCTTCAAGCAAGACATCCCTCCCTCTGGAAGGTGGAAGGGGCTTTGACAGGCAGCAAAGGCCCACACATTTGCCTGTCTTGATTGCCATGAGAATAGATGCTATTTGCGTTACATCAGCCCAGCTCAGATTGTCAAACCCCAGCCAGAGTTGCCAAGTGTGAAATATGTCCTATGATACACGTTCAGTAGCCCTGTCAGGCTCTCCCTCAGCCTAGCTGGATTCCAGCATGTACAAGATGTGCAACCTGTTAATGACTGCTGCTCACAGCCACCAGCATTGCTTCCAGTGCATGTCAGACCATTGGGCTTTCCCACCTCTTTTCAACCCACAGACCAACACTTGGAGCAGAAAGTGAGTGGCCCAATACTGGAACCAGCAGGACACCTACATCCTTCTCCTACATTACTTCCAAGCAGTAAGCTCCTACTTCAGCTTGTAACAGAAAAGTCTGATCTCAGCCATTAGCAACATAACCTTGCATTTTGTACTGTTGTATTTCATCCCGTTTCTCCTGTATTAGCCTTCAAAATTGCCTACCTCCTCGTATAGGATATCCCAGTCCTCCCCTGTATCGACAATGCCTCCAGTTTTGGATAAGCAGCCAATTTTATTAGCACATCCATTTTGGCATGCCAAGATCATTAATAAAACCTGGGCCCAGGACCAGCCTCTGGGAAACTCTTGTAATTTCTTATAATTTCTGTACTTATCTCCATCTTAACTAATAACTCACCATGCGGCACTGTAGCAAATGGATTACTGGAGTCCAAAGCAATCAGTTTGACTACATTTAGTGTGACCTCCAACCTGGCAGCAGGGTAGAGGAGACCTTAGTGTGGAAAAGCATCCAAAATTCATTTCAGAAGTGCCTGGGGCGCTCTAGAAACATCCATCCCAACCTACACAATATTCCATGGATGCTTAATGTCAACAGTCAGAATTTGCATTTTACTTCAAGTCAAAATTTGCTTGACATCATCTTGAAGCTACTAGGTCTTGTTACATCTTTGTCACTCCATCAAAGAACTCTTAATTCCTCTTCCCCAAGCAAAGCACAAGCAAACAGTGAGCAGCTCACCCTTACATCTCCTCAGAGCTACACAAAATGGCTCACAGGGCATCCAGCACCCCCAGCTGCCCCTTGGGTTTCCTGTTCCACACTTCATGTCTTGGGTGAGCTGCTAGCTGCCGTCCTCTGAGCTTGCAGTGCTCTCCCAGCCCAAGGCCCCCGAAAATGCAGGTAAGGGAAGGCTCCCTGCAGCTATGCCCAAGTGTTTCCAGATGCCTCCAGCTGCACTGTTGCCTGCTGTTGCTGGACACCACCGCTCCAAGGGGCCACATGCCACCGGGGCCCCACCTCCCCCAGAGCACAAAGATCTTGCTTTATGCAAGAGGACTTGCTCCCACAGAGAGTTCTGCCCACATCCCACCTTGCTCACAGCCTCGCAGGAGCTGTCCCTGCCCCACTTTTCCAACGCGCCGCCAATCCTGAGATTGGCTAGCTCCTTCGGCAGCGCTGCCAGTGCTGCGAGCGGCTGCCATGGGTCGGGAAGGCACAAAGCCGCTGGCTCAGGGGCTGCCCCTCTGCTGGCTCCCGGAGAAGGGCTGCGTGCTGGGAGCAGGGTCCAGGTGATGCCAAGAGAAGAGCTCTCGCTGGCCTCCGGGGCAGCAGGCACGGGCCCAGCCCGCGGCACTGAGGTCGGTGCGGCCGCAGTGAGGGCACGCCCCGGGACAGAGACCCGAATGGGCCCGGGTTACGAATTACAACCCCATGCACGGCCGGTGCTTTGTCTCCCGCCTGCGGTCCTGGCCCACTCCGAGGGCAGCGGATGCCCGACGCAGCCCCTTCACCGCAGCGAGGACTGCCGTGACCGGGCACTCCCCGGAGCTCTGGTTGCCACCTGCTTTCAGGGCCGAGGGGATCGCCCTGACCACTGCCGTCAGTCCCGCCGCAGCCCCCCGTCCGCAGCGCGGCTGCTGAACCCCGCCGCTCGGCCCGTCCCCCCCTCCCTCCCTCGGAAAGAAACCACATCAGGAAAGTATTCGGGGTATTTTTAGCGGCTTTTAATGCGATTTTGCAGCTGGAAGCGGGAGGGGCCTCCCCGCGCCGCCCGGACCACCGCGAAGGGCCCGCCCGCCGCCCCGAGCGTGCCGCCAGGGGGCTGTGCGGCTGCTGGAGCCATTAGCGCGGGGCTGGCGCGGCCGAAGGCCGGGCTTGGAGCTCCCTCCCCCGCCCGAGCCCCGTCCCGGGGACGTCATGGGAGGGAGGTATAAAATTTCAGCGTCGGGGCCGGGGAAACGGCAGTGTGCGCGGGCGGGCCGGTGTGGAGCGGTGTCGGTGTACGGACCAGGGCACGGCGGTCAGCGGAACCCACGGGCGCAGCGGACGGCCCGGCGGCAGCGCTCCCGGCTGGGCGAGAAGCGCGGCGGTGCCACGTTCCCGGGGGCCGGGCACCGGGCGATGTAGGGCGCGGGGCCCGGCGGGGGCATGAATGGTGCAGCGAGAGGGGCGGGCGCGGCGCTCCCCCCGCGGCGGCGGGGCGGCGCATGGGGAAGGAGCGCGGCGCGGCGAGGCACGGCGCCTGCCGCTTCTCCTTGCGGAGCGCTGCCAGCTCTTCCTGGAAGTCCTGAGTCGCGCACGGCGCAGTGAGTTCATGCACCTCCTCGCCAAGCCTCAGCCTGCGGGTTCTGGGGAGGCTGCCGCCAGCACACCGCCCGGTCCCCCGCGCCCTCTCGCCGCCGCTCGGGGGTCTCTCCCGGAGGCCCCCGCCGCCGCCCCCTCACACATGAAGATGTACGTGCAAAGGGCTCTGGTACTGCTCTCCCTGCTGAGCTTCGCTACCGTGAGCCTCTCGCTGTCGTCCTGCACCACCTTGGACCTGGACCACATCAAGAAGAAGAGGGTAGAGGCCATCCGAGGGCAGATCCTGAGCAAGCTGCGGCTCACCAGCCCGCCGGAGACCGTGGGGCCGGCCCATGTGCCCTACCAGATCCTGGCCCTCTATAACAGCACTCGGGAGCTGCTGGAGGAGATGGAGGAGGAGAAGGAAGAGAGCTGCTCTCAGGACAACACCGAGTCCGAATACTATGCCAAAGAGATTCATAAATTTGACATGATCCAGGGCCTCCCCGAGCACAGTAAGTGCGGGGCTCCCCCCGTGCCGGCCGGGGTGCCGCGCCCGCGGGGCAGACTGCCCGGGATCCCGGGCGCGGGGGAGGGGCGGCCAGCCGGGGCCGAGGGGCGCCGGGCCCCCGCGGAAGGGGCCGCTTCCCCGGCGGGGCGGAGGCGGGCGGGGGGCGCGTCTCCGCCTGGCCGCGCTCGGTACGGAGGTGAGCGGGAGCCGCGGGGCGGGGGGCGCTCCGACCGGCGGCGGGACGGCGCGGGGCTTGGCCGGCAGCGGGGACGGTGGGTGGCAGGGTCCGGGAGCGGCATCGGCTCAGGCCCCGGCCGGCAGCGGCGAGCCAAGCCCGTGCCTGGAGCCTTGACATCAGGACAAGGTGGGGAGGGGAAGCCGTGCGGGTGCCGGGGTGAATGCTGCGCACCGGGCTCGGAGACGGCGCAGGTCTGCTGTTCGGGTGACAGCAGGTAGACGGCCTCCTCCCTGCTGAAGCTCCAGCGCCTGCCGCAGAGATACAGGCAGCTGTCCGGTCCGTGCAGCACCCGCGCCGGCAGTAGAGAAGGTGGAGAGGTACTTGCTGAAGAGACTGCTGCTTGGAGGACACTGATGAAGGTGTTACTCAGATAATGTGAACGTTCAGAGAGCGAGCAGAAGACAACAGGGATGCTGAGCAGGTGTAAAGCAGACAGTGATGCTAAAGGGACCCCCAAGGGAACACAGGCGTTGAGGAAGCATGACAGATGTTGAGCAGGTGTGGAACAGATGATGAGCAGGCCCAGATGTGGACACTAAACAGATTCAGGTGCAGGAGCTGAGCAGATACAGAGACTGAGCACACATGAACTCAAAGCAGATTGCAGATGCTGAGCACATGTAGGCACAAGCAGTCATTCTGGTTTGTTTAGGATTCCTTAGAATTGGAAGATGCAGTCATACCACTATCCACGGTGTTCTCCTGTGATGTTGTGCGATCCTGGGGACAAGACTTGAAACGCCAGCAGTTTTGGGGAGGAGCTCTGACTTGGTGGAGGCAGTCTCAGAATGCAGTTACTCTGCCAGGTTTATGTTAATCTTGACATATGATGAGCTGGAATAAGCTACAATGTGGTAATGCAACAAATTTTACTTAATCTCTAGCAGACTGCATTCCATATGGTTATATGATTAGCTCTTAGCTCAGGAGACACCGACATTCAAGGAACAGAAAGGGCAAAGGTTACCTGTATTTCAGCATTTTTGACCTACTGAAGTGTCATTTGTGAAACTATAAACATATATTATGGGAAAACCAGGTGTCTGCAAAATAGTACAGCCACACTATGCACTAGCATTTTTGGGGGGGAGGAAGTGGGGAAAACACAAAGCACAACAGTGGCAAATGAAGTGCATTGGCTAAAATTGAGGGAAAAGTGGAATGAAGAAACAGTGCATGAAAAGGAGTGATGAGTAGGGATTGTGGCTTTGGGAAAATTCCTGTGGAAACGAATGATCCTGTCCCATCTGCCCATAGGACACTGAGTTCAAAAGACCAAGCAGTGCTGAGATTAAATTTCTGGGAGTGGGCAGTGTAGATGCCACCACCCTGAGAAAAAGGGAACTTTGTAATTTGGTCACACTGGGGGAGACTAGCTCCAGACAGATTGTGGTGGCAAGAGACACGCTCTTTTTGAAACCTGGGGAGTTTCATCGCTTACACCATGGCTGAATTTGGCCCCACATCTTCAGAAGTGGCTGGTGTTCAACTTTCCCATGACTCTGTCACTGTGCCAGGTGGTGATCTAAGAGCATGCTCTGAGCCAAAGCCAGTCTCCTGGGGGGGTGGGGGGGGAAAGGGGAGGACTACTCCATTGAAGGAACTGCAGTGATGATACAGACAAGTCTGAAATGTGTGCACACTCACACAAACTGTTCTAGCTCCAGACTATTAGTCAAGTGTCATACTGGCTCAGAGAACTCATCCTTTTCAAAGATGCAAAGCCCAAAAGTGAGGAGAGCTGAGGAGCAAAAATAGCAGGCGAGAGAGCCAAGTTCTCCATTCCTTCTCTGAGCTGCTTGGTGACTCATGGAATAGTCTTTTCCCCTGTGCCTCTCAGGTACACTGCCTGAATTAAAAGGGATTTTCTTTCAGAGAATAACTTACTTTTGACCAGCCTTCACTTCAGGGATCTCGTAAAACTCATGTGATCAGACCTGACTTGGTTATGTTCAAGCTTGGAAAGCACCTGCAACAGTCCTGCAAATAGCTTTTTGCTTACCTTCCTGAAGGAAAAACAGATGCTGTTTTCCAAGGCAGATTGAGAGACAAGGCAATTAAAGTCACGGGTCACTAGGGCCAAGCATCTATTCCCTCCAAACCTGCCACCTGCAGAGCTGCAGATGGATCAACTTTTTTCTCTAAAGTTACGCAGCTTTGGCATGAAACACCTTGGTGATTCAGGGGTATAACACAGTGTGAGGCAATACCTGCTCACAGCCAGCCTACCCTTCTCATCAAACTCAAACTGCACAGCCATCAGCCTTCCTGGGGCTTGCCAGAAACAACAGCTGTTTCTGCTGGATCCAGCAGCACGTGGTGAGCCTGCACCTCACGTAAAGCAGTGGTAGGAAGGTGGAAGCTCCCAAAAGAACCTGCTCTGTGTATCACATTATTCGCACAGAGGCTACTGGTCTCATCACTGGTGCAGTGAACAGCTCCACAGCAATAGCTGGGTCCAGTTGTGAGGCTGTGTCATACCACACATAGCCTGGCATGGGTGCACAGGGTGTCACAGATTCCTGCTCTCCAGGCTTGGTTACTGACACTGAGAGTTGTGGACTGGGAGAGCTTGCAGGAATATTCCCTCCAGGCTTTGTTCTGTGCTGGTGGTGAACAGCTCTGGATTCCAGTGTGATTAACACACCTCAGCTGGGTCTGGACCAAATTCCCTGAAAAATCCCCTTGCTCCCTTTGACTGTGACCTTGTGCAAAAAAGTTTTTTTGCCCCAAAGCTGTCAAGTTTCCTGGGAGTGAGACCTCTATCCTGAACCCCATGCTATGAGAAACAGGCTCTAGTCTCCCAGGGCTTGGAGTGAAACACAGAACACAGTTCCATTTCTGCATCACAGAGGTCTTGTTCCCAGGGTACAAAAGGAACATGACACTTTTAGGGAAGGGAAAAGAGCTATTACTGTTTTCACTGGGAATGTCTCCCAAGACCAGCACCTTGATGGTGAAGTAGGTAGAAAGCAATGTGGCTTTCTTTGCTTCACAGCAGGTGAATTACAATAGATGTAATGTCTTATCACCATGGCTGTATAATTTGGCCAAAAACATTAAGGAGATGATAACACATTAGGTGTCTTTCATCAGCTCTGTGCTGTAGGACTGTATTTGCAGCATCTAAATAGATTGTCAGATAAAGCACTACTGTTGGAAACATACTGAGCTGGACTGACCAGTGGTCTGATGCAAAAAGGCATTTCTAATGATAATTGGGACACCCCTTAGGGCCAGGCAGTCAGGTCTGAAATGAAAGGACAGGCTGTTAACAGCACTATTAATAGGGCTAGATGTGCAAAGCAGCTCAAGGGGCTATTGAAACACAGTATCTGCCAAGGTCTAGGACACAGAACAGTAATCAGTGTTAGACTTCAGCTAGGAAGATGTCTTTGGGCACTTAATGAGAACTTGGGCTTTTACTGGACTTTTCTGCAGCATCAAACCTTGAATTGGTCACAGGGGTGGAGTCCCCACAGTAGGAGTTTGTGTGCAGCTGGGGGTACTCTGTGTTGCAGGGTTTTTGGGCTGGGCAGGCCAGCTTGTGCCTGCAGTGGGATCTGGTCTCCTGGGATTTGTGAACAGCCACCTCAGTAACAGCTAGAGACTTTCCTGTATGGGAATGCTGTTCTGTTCAGCAGTACTAATGACAAAACCTCCTCTAATTAAAGCCCAATGTCAGCATCTAGTCATTAGCTTATTGAGTAAAAATTCAGCACCCTAAAAACACATCCTTGAAAACTGGCAGGGTCCTGCTTGCTGAATTTGTGTGTAGCACAAGAGGAAGACCTTAATCTCCATTGATATGAGTGTACATCAGTGTTGCTGAAATCAGAATTTGGCATGGGAGGTGAACCTCTGCACTCAGGTGCTGTTTCACACTATCCCATTTTCAGAAGCTGTTTCTCAGGGGAGATAGTGATGGTGGGATCAAAAGAGGGGCCTGCAGGACTTCAGGAATGTAACTTGAAGGTTGTTCCAGATAGGGCTTCCAGCCTATTTGTCAAAGGCTGGAACCATGTCTGGGAACAGGTGATAGTTTTTGTTTCTTTCTGTTCGTTTGTTTAGAAGCAACTTAAATATCAGCAGATATAACAACCTGCTGCTGCACTGGACAACAGTCAGAGGTCATCTGAGAGGCTCTGCAGGGCTGCAAACAAACCTGCATGTGGACATAGAGCAGGAACCACTGTGTCTTGTCTGCAGGAAGCCTTCATGATGCTAGAGCCTTGAAGGCTAACAAGGTCAATAGGAGAGAAATGACAGCAACAAAAAAAGACTTCCATGAGACCAAAATGATCCCTTTGAAGAGAGTGTTACTTGCTCTTGAGGACTCTGTTTTGGACTTTAAAGGTTTTACCTCCTCTCTTTTGAGGCATCTGTGACATGGGTTTTTCTGTCCAGCAGGCATACATGGAAGCAGAAAATTGCTGTATTATTTCCTGCTCATGTGTGTGGTCTCCACAGGCCCAGTACTATTAATGAATTTCTTCTACAGTTCACGAGTGAGAACCAATTTTAAACCTCAGTTCTTTCAGTATGCATTGGATAATCACTGCCCTAAAGAGTCTTTGACACCTCATGCTTTGTGTTTTTTGACACTGGGTGGCTTCCATTCTAGGAGGCAATGTCAAGATATGTAAAACTAAGATTCAGCAGCAATGGGATCACTTTGTATGTAGCTTCATGTCTCCATCATGAGCAGAGTAACGGCATCCTAGCTGTTCGGAATAGGCCCCACTAACTGCAAGTGAGATTGTCCCATTGCCTGGGCTGGGATTGTCATTTTGGATGCAGCCAGCTCATGAGTATTAGCAACGTTTGATGAGCAGAGTTAGAAGACATAATAATAAACATACTGTGGTTGATCTCTACTGATTCTTTCTCTAGTGGCATCGAAATAATGATGGCAGTAGTGGGAATGTTTGCAAAATGTTGCAATGTAGACCAAATTTGAGTGAATTCATTCTGTGTTATCTTGAGCTAGATAGCCGTGCTTCACAGGTGGCAAGACGTTTGAATGACAAGTCTCTACTGGAAAGCTCTTTCTCAATATTTATTTGAGATCCTGCCCCTCAGAGATGTGATTCTCAGTGTTTCTCTATTTTTTTCTCCTAGATGAGTTGGGCATTTGTCCAAAAGGTGTCACCTCCAATGTGTTCCGCTTTAATGTGTCATCAGCAGAGAAGAACAGCACCAACCTATTCCGGGCTGAGTTTCGGGTGCTGCGTGTGCCCAACCCAAGCTCCAAACGCAGTGAGCAGCGCATTGAGCTCTTCCAGGTGAGTATTCTTATCACCTTCCCCAGTGTCTGAGCCCAGAATAGCTTGACTCCTTAATGGTTGTCTCAACTGATATGTGCAGACCCACAGAAGAGAGAAGAAAGTGCATGCTGTAACCCAGGCTTCTTCCACCATAGGCAGTGATACAGTCACCTTCCTTTCCTTTTACAGTGTGGTGCTGCCCTTTTCCCACTTGGAAGGGGAGCCCCTCATCACTGGAGCAGCTCTGACCCTTCTGTCACATGATGTGTAGGACCCTTGGCAGTCTTATCCCTTTCACTGTTGCAGCACAGTTGGTGCTAATTTAATGGATAGAACTCTGTCTTGTCACTGATTTACTAGAAAAACAGTGCTTGCATTAAATGTTCCCTTCAGCAATAGCTCCCCAGAAGCACAATTCAGGCCACCTGTTCATCCAGATACTTACTGGGAGGTTTTTTTTGAACCTAGGGACTGACAGAGTAAGGTATGGTTCAGGCTTGGAAGTGGTAACAGGCTGAGCTGGACCACCTAATGATACAGCTTAGCATCCAGGCAGCACACTCCCACAGGCTCATGTCTGCCCACTTTTCCATAAGAGTGCAGATAAAATTGTCTTTGGGTGGAATCCAGCATCAAAGGTCAGAGCAATTCTCCACCAGATGACATGACTGACAAGGAAGTGTTCTCAGAGCTTCTCCATAGGTTCAGTGGTCTGTGGAGTCAGCCTGGGGTCTGCAGGAAGGAACCCCTTGAATGTGCTGTGGTTGTTTGTCTGGAAGTGGAAAGAGATGTCAGAGCAGAGGCAGAGGTCTCCAAACCTGAACAGTCTTGGTGTGTTTTGACAAAAGTTGAAGAGTGTAGGACACCTGAAAAAGCCACCGTGAGAACTCAATAAATTGGCTTCCTGGGCTGGTGACTTGTGGCCAGATACTGCATTTACCACTGGTGGGTCTGCTCTGAAATCCAGATCCATGTTCCACAGCTGTATACAAAAACAAACCCATCCATTAAATGAATTGCCATGTGCTTCTGCCTCTATATGTGTGTCCCTAAACAATTCCAAACTGAAAGAGGTGGGCTGCTTAGGACACAGAAATAAGCACTGTGTAGAATCTCTAGAGTTCAAGCTGGTTGTGAAGCATGTCATCCTCACCTGATCCAGGGTATTCCTGGCAACTCACTTGCCAAGATCAACTTTCTAAATTAGTTTTTAGCAAGCTGTGGGAGGAAAAAAGACTAAAGGCTATCCCTTCCTTCTGCATGGCACTGGCTGATTTTTTCTACCACTCCTTCTGACACAGATCCTTCGGCCAGATGAGCACATAGCGAAGCAGCGGTACCTCAGTGGCAGGAATGTGCAGACACGGGGCTCTCCTGAGTGGCTGTCCTTCGATGTCACCGAGACCGTGCGTGAGTGGCTTCTGCACAGAGGTAGGGATCTGAGCTGGACTGTGTGTCAAGACATCCACAGAAATGGGGATCAATGTTCACAGAATATCCTTCTGCTCCCCTTGTTGCAGGAGCTTGGTTCACAGAGAGGACAAGTTCTTTCAGTCTGAGAACAAGCTTTCCTCCAGAGAGCTTCCTCAATGTGTGACATTTGCTATATTCCTGGCTCTTTCCTGGAGGCCCCACCATGTAGCTCTGTGGACTGAGTCAGAATGATGATCCATTCCCTGCAGGAAATTCTTGACAATTAAGCCCAGAGGGGACCCCTTTGCTTGTCTAAATTATCATAGAAAATGACAAATGCTTTGCTTAAATTTTCATGTGAATTAAAGCAAATGTAGTATAGGAGAAAGCAGCAAGGATCCTGGTTTATTGAGCTGTGTACAGCTTGTCAGGTATAAAGGTGAGGAAATACCAGAGGCTGACACACCTAGCCAGCTGAGGCTTTAACACTGCAGAGAACATACCTCTGCCACTGCTGGACAGCCCAATAGATAGTTACAGGGCAGTTCCCAGCAAGGACACTGACCCCATTCACAGCTGGAGCATAAGGCATCGTCACTCACAGCTGGATTGGCCTCACAGATAGAAGCTAGGTGCCACTGAAGACTGGAATGCAGGTACTGGCAAGAGCTGCTCCCTGGAAGGCTAAGTGGTGAGCTTGCAGATTCCTCCTATTTCAAGCAACCTAAGTTGTGTCCTGATGGCTGAAGCTCAGAGCTGGAACTGCAGCAAGCTCTGGGCAGGCACACTAGCTGACAAGACATCACAGAGTATATATAGTGCTGAGGGAAAAAGGTGCTAGGCACCTTGTCAATGCCCCAGGAAGCCAGATGTTTTAATTCATGGCACAACATAAAAAAGGAGCTTTCATAAGAGTCTTATGTTCCTGTAGTCAGGCCCACACAGCACGACTGGTACAGGAAGTTATTATGAAAGTAGATTTGCCTCTGGAAAGTCTGTGTGACTTAGACTGCTAGCAGTTCAATAAAACAGAAGGTTGCAGCTGCTGAGAAGAATGCTTCCAGTAAAATTACTTGTCCATATCCAACTTGCTTATTTTCAGATTTCTCCTTCAGACACTAAGCAGAAGCCAGATAATAGGTACTGAGGATTGCAAAACTGATTTAAGATACCAAAAGCCAGCTCTCCAAAATACTTGTTTTCCAAGGGAAGCTCCTTGAAGCTCACAAATGTTTTTGGATGCTGAATAGCCTAAAAAAAGTAACAAGAAGCACTCTTCTTACCTCTCCAGAAAGTCCCTTTAGCAAGAGCAAGGCTTTTGGCAAAAGTGAAGCTAGGGGATTTTTCTTCCTGTTCTTCCCAAGGCAGCATCTGTTCCTCAACTCTGATAACACTTCTGACTTTGAGACCAACCCATTGTCTAGGAGTTAGCACAGCTGTGTAAAACTTCCTTATGCCAGGAGCTGTCCCAGCTGAGAAAGACTGTTTCTCACAGAGCCATCTTCTTTGCAGAGTCCAACCTTGGCCTGGAAATTAGCATACACTGTCCTTGCCACACTTTTCAGCCCAACGGGGACATCTTGGAGAATTTGCATGAAGTCCTGGAGATCAAGTTCAAAGGTGATAAAGAGCTGGGTTGGGGGAGGCTGTTGGGGGAGGGAAAGCCTCAAGCATATAAAGAAAAAAATGACGTCTTGCTTTGTGTATTCAAGCACTTCACATTGTGTAACATTTGTCTTAAAACATACACATCTAGGTTTGTGTGTTCACTATATGGGTATATCCACTATATACATAGGTTACAAAATTAAGTAAGGGCAGGCTGGGTGGGTTTGCATGAGAGAAAGGAGTAATTTTATATTTCAGTGTCTCTCTGGGAAGTTCAACTTGATGCCTTCTCAGATTTCCACAGAGGTTCTACTTTCCAGTCAGAGTGACTGAAACACAAGGAAGTTAGGCATCCTCTGTGAGGTGCCTCAGAGAGTCAGTGGCTTGGCTGGCCTGAGAACTAGGAACCTCCTGGCTTGCAGCCCTGGGCAGCAGCCACTGGCCCCCACAGGCTCCATTTCTGAGGCTGTTCTGCAGAGTGCCAATTATCTGACATCTTCTTTAAACCATTCATCTTCCTGCCTATCCTGGGACTCAAGCCAGGAGTGAGTGGGATGGATTAATGGCCCCACCAGCAGTTTGCAAATGGTAAAACAGGTGGCCCATAAGCCTCTATTTCAGGCCTGCAACAGTCAAAATTACCAGAAATAAAGGGGTCTCTGTAAGGGAAGAAGTAAGTAGACATGGTGCCTGAACATGGTTCAAGAGCAAGCATGAGAGTGTTAAATTGAAAGGTCTTCTTGCATTCTCCACTTCCACACTGATTTCTTTGTGGATCCTCTTTTTCTGAAGGCATTGACAGTGAGGATGACTATGGCCGTGGGGACTTGGGACGCCTGAAGAAGCAGAAGGACTTGCATAATCCCCACCTCATCTTGATGATGTTACCCCCACATCGACTGGAGAGCCCCGTGTTGGGAAGCCAAAGAAAGAAACGGGCCCTGGATACCAACTACTGTTTCCGGTGAGTGAGGAGCCTGCTGGGATCCTACGCCTGAGGTGGGCAGGCCTGGCAAGACTCCGTGCCACCAGACAAGGCAGAGCCCTCCAAGGGGGTTGTGGGTCACCGTGGCGTCAGCAGGGCCGCTGGCCAGCTCAGCAGAGTTGCTGTGTGCTTCTGCCAGAGCCACCGGTTCAAAGAGACCCGCAATCACCTTCCAGGAACACAGGCTGGGACCCGCACAGCCCCGTGCCAGTTGCTGGAGCAGCTGGGTGCTGCCTGGCAGGGGCCCTGGGAAAGCGGCCTGCCAGCAGCACGAGCAGTGCCCGGCTGCTGAGCTGCCGCCGCTGCCTGGCTGTGCTGCTCCTGGAGCTGGGCACACGCAGCCACCAGGTCCCACCAGCACTGCTGGTACGAGTCCTTCTCAGGAAGCTGCATCTCGCAGTTGCATATAAGGCCCCCCTTTGGATCCACCGTGTTTCACTACTGTGTTTCAGGAACCTGGAGGAGAACTGCTGCGTGCGTCCTTTGTACATTGACTTCCGACAGGACCTCGGCTGGAAATGGGTCCACGAGCCTAAGGGCTACTTTGCAAACTTTTGTTCAGGCCCTTGTCCGTACCTTCGCAGCGCAGACACCACTCACAGCACGGTATGTCCAGGATATCATCCCGCCAGGGCTTGTGGCTGTGACTGCCCCTTCCTCCCTAAGTCTGATCAATATCCAGCCTCTTCAAAGCAGCCTAAGCAGTTCAGATCAATATTTGTGAAAAACATTCCAAGGAAACTGCAGAAAAAAGCCTGGGTGGTTCAGCAGGGAAAATGTGCTTGGAGTCAGTACTGAGTCTGCTTTCAGGCAAATCTTGAGGAGGAAGATGCTGTTGTCTCTTAGACAAGATATGAAACAGCAGGACTGATGGTTTTAGGGTACTTACTTGGCAGTGGCCATAGCATTAACTGAATTGTTCACATCCAACATCAGTTGGATCAGTAATTATTTTCTTCCTAAATTTCTCCTGCAGTTTGCACTGGACAGAGGATTTTTCTAGACTCTGTGCCAGGTTGTCATGAAAAACTGTTGTGCAATGGCATGTGCCTGCCATCTGCTCCTAAAGGGACAGCTACAGCTCAAAAGTGCAGGGAAATCCACATCCATTTCCAGAAGTGAACACAGCCACTCAGATCTCCTTTTTCACAGGTATCCTTTCCAGCTGCATAAATCCTACCTGACCCACAGCAGGGAGGAAGCTACTAGGCAGTGAGATTTTTGAATGAAAACTTGGCAGAAAGCAAAAGTCTTCAGGTAACTTAGGCACAGCCTCTGGTCAGCCTTTGGGAAGAACACAGTCTGAGCCTGGCTAGAGCAGAAAAAAATAAAAGTAATAGAATAACACAGGCATGGGAGAAGTATCAAGAGAAAAAGACAGATTAAGGATCAGACAGTCCACTGCTGAAGCAGAAAAAGTCAGGAAAATCCTGTGCTTCTGCTCACAAAAGTCAAAAGGCAGCAATCCAGATAATGCAACAGCTCACTAGCAAATTAACTTCCGTCTTCATTAAAAAAGTTACTGGAAAAAGCAGATTCAGCTGAAGAACAAATAACTAGGTAAGGATGATATTTCAGAAAATATGCTAACATTTTCTTGACAGTCTGCATAGCAGTAAGGTTCAATGAATCTCAAGGACTAATATCAGTGGGAACAGCTGATCTGTGGGAATGAAGAAGTGAACAGATGCTGGGCAGTAACCACAAGACAAAGCAAAGGAATTAACAGCTTTGAAAGGGTAATGGGCATGTAGCTTTACCATCTGGTTGTCCTGAGAAGCTCTCCAGAAGGTAGCTGGACTGAATCAGTGTGATAGAAAGGAGACTTCAGAATGACTCCTAATGATCTTAAACAAGAAAGGAAATGAGCAAGCGTTAAGGTCAGTGAAGTGATCAAAGAAAACTTTAGAACAATATAGCTGCTGACAGCTTGCCAGCACCACTTAGGAAAGACATGATGAAAAGAAAACTTCTCACCAGTCTGTTTAACTTGTGGTTGAGTAGTGGCCCAGAGCACATGATACCCTGTGGTACAGCCAGGGATACTTTGCTTAGGATCTCAGAGAGTTTCTACCACAACAACAGTGATTACATGGGTCTGGATGATAGAACAGGATGTATCCTTAGCACCTCTCATCCCCAAAGACTGTAAAGTAGTTAAAATACAATGTGCCAGACCCTGATGTGTGTCGAGATAAGCACTGAAGAGACCACACTAGTGCAGGTGAGATCATGGTCACTGCTGAGAAGTGGTCACCCCTGGCAAGAAATGTGGCAACTGTTCTGTAGTGGTTACATGGCTGTAATGTATAGTCATCTGTGGGCTGGGGCCAGCTGGGAGGAGGAATCCAGTGGGGTCCCACAGGACACTGTCCTGGCTCCAGTATTACAGTGTAATGACTTGGAGGATGGACCAGAGGGAGAAGGCACCAGACAAAGCTGGGAGGGAATTGTGGATACTTGAGAGGACTGGCATCCATCCAGTGCTATCTGGAAATGTTGGTTGAAATAAGCAGCACTGATATTCTTTCTTCTGGTTTCTTTAATAGAATCCAAGACAGCATGGCCCCAGGCTGGTTACACCCAACCTTGTTAAAAGCAAAAATTGTGACACATTGCTGTACCAAATTAGAGATGAAAGGAGACAACTACTTGCACTCCTTCAACCCTTAGGCATCAGTCACAGAGAGTATTACAATTAGGGAAAAAAAAACCCCAAAAAACTCTTAAGAGTCAGGCCAGGGCAGGTGAGGCCATTTAGAAGCAGGCCATGATCAGGAAGTGACAGGGGAGTATTACTCATCTCAGGGAAATACCCTCTGATGAATCTAGTGCAAACACCTAGAGACTTGTTGACTTGGCAGCCCCTTCCTGTCCTCAACCAACTCAAATGTATTCCTGACCTTGTCACAACATTTACTTTGTTCCTGCAGGTGCTGGGTTTATATAACACGCTGAACCCTGAGGCATCTGCTTCGCCCTGCTGTGTTCCCCAGGACCTGGAGCCACTCACTATCTTGTACTACGTCGGGAGGACCCCCAAAGTGGAGCAACTCTCCAACATGGTGGTGAAATCCTGCAAGTGCAGCTGAAAGGCCCCGTGGCCCACCCAAAGCCAAGGAAAAAACTGTCAGCACCCACTCTCCTGCTCCCAGGCTAACACAAAGAGAACTGGGGGTCAGAGACTACGCATGCTGAAGGCCAAGTGCCAAACCTTGAGAGTCTGGCAGCCCTCCGGGATTTCTTCTGGAACACTCCTTGGTCGTCTTGGCAGTGTAATGTTCCTTCTAGGAAGTACTTTGGTGACACAAAGGCCACACTCTCCAAAATGGCTGGACAGTTGGTGCGGAAGAAAAGGATAATGTGGAAGAACTGCAGTGTATTTGAATGTTGGGTAGCTGAGATGGGAAAGCAAGAGAATGAGAAAGCAGGTGAAAGGGAGAATGGAGAAGGGGAGATGTTTTCTATTCTTGCTTTAGCTATCTTAAGACCTCAGCCCTCCTCATTAGCCTGAAGTATTAAAGGTTTTCCCTGTAGGAGGAATTTTTGAAGGTTTCCTTAGAGAAGGAAAATTCACCAAGCAGGGAAGCTGCTAAGAGAAGTGCTCAGAGATACACTTAAGACTTTTGTTCCTCAGAGCTGTGCTTCAGGAGTCCTGCAACTGAAACTGTGTCTGCCAAAACCTCTAAGTTCAGTTGACAGATCCTGGCTATTGGGTTCCAAATTCAAACTGCAAGGCTCCCAGTCAGCCTACCAACAGTGGGCAAATACAAGGAAAGAGGGTGCAGAGTCCATTTTCAGAGGGACTGAAGTCTCCATTCAGCTCTTTTACCTTCCTGGAGTTTCTAAGATATGATTTCAGGGTCAAAGCAGGAGCATCTGTGGGTACCTGAATACTGGGCCTATTCATTTGTGATCTGATACACCCTGAGGACCTCTTGTCTGTTGTGGTTTGTGAGGTGCTTTGGGGTGTTCTGCACCTGTTCTGCATGATGACCTGAACTTGGTCTCACCTGCCAAGACTTAAAAAATAGTAATCTCAAAACCTTTGTAAAAAATAAATATTTGGGGGGTGGGGGGAGATGCTAATTTTTTCACAAGCAAGTTTTTTGTTGGAGGGTTAGATGATTTGCTGGTTTTAAACTGCTACTGCTGTGGCATACTCAGTCTAAAATTCTTACCCTTTCCAAAATGTTTCTTCAAAAGAACAGATAGCATTTAGGTCAGCAAGAAAATTCCAAAATGGAACTTTCTTATTACCCTTAAACTGTACCTGGTGTAAATGTGCCCTGTTCCAACCTAGTCCTTCAGACATGTACATCACCACTGGCATCTGCTTTTGATAGATTCATATAAAGCTCCCCTCAAACATAAAACACTTTCAACAATACTGTTTAAGTATCCAAGGCAATGCAGTTGCCACAGCTGACAAATGTCATATGTCCATTTGAAGATATATATGGTCTGCCAATACAGACCTGGTAAACTACATCCAGGTAAATAACACACCCTTCCTCTCATGTACTGATTTCATGTTCATAAAAAAGATTACAGATGCTGCCTGGGCAAGAAATCAATGCAGTCCTTTAAATGGGCTTTTGCAGCCTTAGATACTCCCAGAGGTAAAAATCTCTGGTGCTGAATGCCACATGAGATTCAGAGGCTGTCTCTGACTTGCCAAAACACAGCTACTTAAAAGTTCTGTTCTAGAGACCACAGAGGTTCCTCCCTGTCTCCTCCCAATTCCTAGTCCCCAGCAACTGAATGTAAAATGACACCTAGCTGGTTTATCACCTGTGGCCAGGGCTCTCCCACGGTCAGCTCAGAACTCAGCTCTTCCACCAAGCCCTTCACAACAGTGGCTGCTTCCATATACCTCATGTGAGGCTGCCAAACCATGTAAACTCAAATGTCTTAATAAACCATAAACAGCCCTTCCTGAACCATCACCAATCGGATAGAGGTTAGCAAGGGTGGGTCAGTGGAGGCAGCCTGCCAACCTGTATGCCATTTTGGCCAGGGCACACACACCCTGATAGAGGCACTCCCCAGTGCTTTTTCCTTTTCATCTCTGGGGCTCCCTGACATGTGTGATTGGTGTGATGATGAAAGCTCTGATCAGTTCTGCAGCACTAGAGTATTGCTGTGCCCTGTGCACCTCTCCATGCCCAGGCTTCCCTGCCACCTGCCCAGGGAGGGAGCAAATAAATGCATTATGACTACACCACCGTGCTGATCAACAGGCCAGAAATTTACTAGCCACAAGAGAGTGTGTGTGTGTGGGAGAAATCCAGATGCCTATTGGCATAGGAATTCCCTCTGATCTCCTTTTAGTAGTAGCCTCAAGGGAGGTTTTGGTTTACAAGCTGCAGTCTGATCTTTGGTCATTGTTCCTGAGCCCTGGGCTGGCTTTGCTCCCCATCCAACTGAAGGGCTTCCTTGCTAATAAACGGGGAAGCAAGGAGGGGGAGCTGCAAAGGGTTGAGCTAGAACACTTGCACACCCAAAGTTCTGCGTGGCACTTGCAGCACATCGGAACCACCCACGGATTAACCCTGGCAGCCCCTTGAGATGGGACTGTCTCACTAACCCTTGCTCACTGCTGCTCCTCAGTGACAGGAAGGGGCGGCAGAAAGACCAAGCCTTTTGCCTCTTGGCAAAGGAGACAGAATGGCAATGGAAAATCAGGGGTACAGAGTCCTGGGGTGTCCAACCAGTATAGACACAGGTATACACATGGGAACAGTAATTTTTGAGATCAAACACATTTCAGTTACTGCTTTTCTGTTCAGCCTTCCATTTCTGTAGCAACATTTGAGAACTAGATTTGTGAGACAGGCTCTGAATTCTTTTTCTTAAAACTGAAGTAACTTTTCTAGGGGTGTTTCAGCTATAATTCAGCAACAAACTATACTAGCTACATGGGGCTCAATAACAGATTGACCAGGAGTAACACTCCTGGGTGCAAGTGCACCAAAATGTTTCAGGACACTTGTGTGAGAAGGCAGAGGGCAGTTACTGTGCTGTTACTAGCTAGCAAATTGAAGAAGACAATGGGAAAGAAAAAGTGGGATCTTCATTGCCAACACTGAATACAGCTCTCAACAGTTCCCCTTTGTTGTTTACAGAAACAAACAAAAGCTGATGAAAACAATCCCAGCACAGTTTGTCTCTTTAACAAAGATCAATGGCTAGAAATAGTGAAAAAAACCTATTCTGCAGTGCCATAAAGCAGATCCTACACAGATGATCAAATAACCATCTGTGCAGTCCCTGTTTCTCTGTGGCAAACTGTTAATAGTATGCAAAAGGCCTAGACCTGAACTTGAACACCTTGTTTTCCAGGCTGTAGTGCACTGTAGAGCTCTGAGAGGAACACTGCTTCACTGAGTACAGAACGTACGCTTGTACCTCAGCAAAGAATGGTCTTTGCAGACTAAGTGAGTTTTGTTCCCTGGGCTTTTAATTGGGTGGTCTTTAGCAATCCCACTGCACTTACATAAAGCCCATCCCTGTTACCACTGTGTGAGCTGGGATATGCTGCTTGGTGTTTCACCTTTCCATGTAACCAACAGACACCAATACACTCAGAAAGATGGACTGTGCCCAAAAGTAATAAAAGACAAACATACCTGTCCACTACTCTGGTAACATCATAGCTCTGTTCTGCTGGGTCCTGGGATGTCATATCTCTCTGCTGTGGCTATCAAATTTTCATTTTCTCAGTTCACAGATCCTTTTCTTATCTTTCTGTGCTGCTCTGAAGCTTTCTTTATCTGTGATTAGAATGTCCTCACCAGAGCAAATATACAGGAGATCTGGCTCAGGTTTCTTTGTAAATGCAATCACTACAGCCATCCCATGAAGAGGATCCATTGCAATGGAAGCAAATGTCTTCAATAGGTTCTCAAGTCCAATGCAGGGCAGGTTGAGTATCACAGTGACCAGAATGCACCTCTAGAGACAGCTCCACTGTGCAGAAAAGGTTTTTTGCCCACTCTAAGTGTTTCTAGTGGCATACAAAAGAGCATCTCTGTAGTACTGGCTTGTCTTCCCTAATAGGTGATTGAAAGGCAATGAAGTCAATAATGAAAATACAGTTTTCAATACATATGGAGTCAACAGTGTGGTATCTACACACTTGCAAAACTATACTACTTTGTGGTCTTACTGGCTGCCTATAATCTACACTAACTATGGTTTAGAATAACAGCAGCAATTTGGATATAGTGCAAGGATGCAAATATGCCTTCTAATTCTTTCACAATAACATCTATTATTTTTTACACTCAAAATCAGTAGAAAATATTGGTCAAAAGCTGTATAAAATTACTATGTTTAGTTAAAAAAAAAAAAAAATCTGGACTTTCAGATCTCTGCTTTACCAGTATTTTCTTTTGCATACAGGGAATTAACTTAAATCTTGGTTAATTTCTTATGCAGTTCCAGAAGTGACAGATGGAAACAACAAAGCTTACTGTCTCTTGTCCTGTCTTGAAGAGCAGCTTTAGATACAAATGCAAGATCCTTTATCATGCAACGAGTCAACACAGAAGATGAGACAATTTACTCATTATGAAATAGATTTGTCTTAGAAATTAATTCTGGTATATCAACAAGAAATACAGCAAATGAAAACTGTTAATTAATGGTTGTCATTTTCTAAATGACAGTAATGCATTTGAGATGCCACTTATGCCCATAATTACAGAACAAATATGGTACAGCACTTTGGATGTCACAGTGTGTTTCCAGGAAAGACCATTTTCCAAGATTAAAGATCTCAGTAACTTGGCTGCTTTATAACACCCTTATGTAGGACTAGGTTTCTTAGAAAGATACAGAGATGGTCTGAAGGCATTCAACCATGCAGCTGAGCCATTTCTATGACTGGCCTACGACTTAATGAAGTATACACTTAGGGATAAGGACCTTTCTATCTAATGGTACAATGGCTTCTTTACAGCTGTGGTTTATGGCAAACCATTCCTCCCCTCCTCCTTCTCATTATTGGTTTCCCACATCCTGCAAACTCAGTGAACAGCTTCCAGGCAGAAATTCTGTCCCCTAGGCTGGTTTATGCTGCTATTGTTAACTTAAATCAAGCAATACCGAGTGGTACCTTTTGAAGACAAAGACTTACTTCTCCCTCTTTCAGGAGAATTGTGATCTTTGTAAAGGGTGATATTCTTTGCCTCTCATTCCACTTAGTTGACTAGGAAAGAGCATAGAATAGTTTGGGTTGGAAGGAACCTTAAAGATAATGTATTTTCAATCACCTACCATGGACAGGGACACCTTTTAGAGTGTGTTGCTAGCCTGGCCTTGAATATCCCCAGGGTTCCAGCATCCATGTTTTCCTTGGGCAGCCTGAGTGTCTCACAAACTCACAGTAAAGAAGTTCTTCCTAATCTAATCTAAAGTTCCTTGTTAAACCTCATGAAGTTCCCATGGCCCCATTTCTTGAGCTGATCCAGATCCCTCTGGATGGCAACCCATCCTTCAGGTGTGACAGAAGAAAAGGAAGAAGATACCTCATTGCTGTCCACATGAAACCAATACAGGAAAAAAATATGTAGGCATTAGGTGTGTTGCAAAAATCAAAGCAGACTTCCTTTTCCTGGTCTGCCAACACATAGTCATTTCTCACTAGTTGTTTAGATATTCACTCATCAGATTCAGAAATGAGGCAGCTTAATAATATATCATGGCCAGTCCATATACATCACTTGATGAAAGAAACCAGCTGGATCATATCAAACCATATTTCCTGACGTTTTTCAGGAAGGATCTATTTTTTCTCCTAAGTTATTATCCTCTTCAGGAAGCAGACAAAACAAAGATTTGCTGTGCAGCCAGGGGCAAATCTTACAGGATTTGCGCAGTGCATGTAGTGTAATGACTGGGGTATGTCATAGTAACCATATTCTGGCCCTTTCTTGGAACAAAATTTTGGCCTTTTGAAGTGCTGAAATCCTCTTGCAGGTTGACTAGATGCTTGGGAGAAATCCACTGTTTTTAAGGATTTGTAAGAAACTCCACTTGCAAAGGAAAGCAGTAGCAGACAGTCTGACTCACAACTAGAGTCTCTGAAAGACATCCAGCTTGCAACAAGCTGCCTTGCATGACACAATTTGACATCTAACCCCTCAGAGGAGACTTGCTACAAAAATCTCTAAGTATGCCTCAGGATCTGAAGATCTCATTTAGATACTACCATGCTAAGTGCTCTGTTATGCTAATCTGAAGAACTCGAAAAAACCAAACAGAACAAACAAAGAGAAACAAAATAAAAGAGATGGCAATAAAATCTCAGGAAAGCATAGTGTGGCAGCAGTTACATAGTCCTGAATACACATTTTAAATTGTCTTCATTTTTGTCAATTTTACCTGCCTGCATTCAAAAGACCTGGGCCACAATTTGGCAGAAGGAGCCACCAAATTTTATTCCTAGATAATTTAAAAAACAAAAAAAGTTTTACTACACATATGGAGACATGAGTTTTGTAGGTCTGTGTATAAGAAAAAAAAAAATCCAGGCCGATATCACAGACAAAGTGAATTCCACATAGAATTTCTGGAATTAGAAATAGTGGAAAAAACACCTTCAGGAAGGAAGAAAAGCCCAGATAGAATGGGGGAAGCATCATGCAACTGGAAGCATTAGTAATGTAAGTACTGGCACCCATGGGATGCCTAAAACTTCACAGCAGATTCACAGATCTCCATCTGCACCTTGAAGAATGGTGTATTAAGACATCCTAGGTGTACTAAATATATTATATTAAATATATCTATACTAAATATATCTGACACAGCACAACTTTTCCAGAAGATCATATAAATAAGGCAAAACCACATGAAAACCATGAGGTAAATCCTATACAGTAATTACTGGAAACAGTGTGGAAAAAATCCCTTGCCATTTTTCTTCCCTAGACTCAGAAAGAAAGAGCTTTATAGTAGAATGAGGAAGTGATGACAGTCAAGCATTTCGACTTGTCAGTACGGAAACTTTTCAAAGACTCCCTCCTGATTTTTGACATGATAATACTCAAGATATAGGGATCAGCTTAATAACCCCAAAATATTTTTGGGGGAGATTTTATGACTTTAGAACATAACTGAGTACTGTAACTTATCTGCCATTTGTGTGATGGAAGGACACTACCATTACTATAATTATGGTGAAATAAGATTTTACAAAATATTCTTGCAGGGGCACCA